CCCCAAAACCCCAAAACCCCGTTATTAACACTTTGATGAAATATTATTGAAATATTTTTAAATAAATAAATTAGAAAAAGGGAGTTTTAAATAGTAATTTGTTCGAAAAATAAATTCAGTAATTTAATATAAGTTAAATCAAATGAAATCCTCTTCTGGATTAAATGCAAAGGATGTATCAAAATTAGATCTTCTTCTAATATTCGCTCTCTATATGAATTCAATGGCATTCTATACTCCATTTACAACGACTTCATTTTACTCAAGGAATGATATGTATTTTTTCCACTTTTAATCTTTAGATAAGAAGTGTTTGTTGCCGATAATAATTAGGCCATGCTGTGCTCGTGTTAATGCAACATTTGCTCTATTTTTGTCACTCAAAAATCCAATACCGTTAGAAGTGCCTTGACTGCTGCTTCTAACTGCAGAAAATATAATTAAATCACATTCTCTGCCCTAGTAAGAATCTACTGTTCCAATACAATCTTCCTCCAGTTTAAAATCTTTGAGAACGCTGGATAATTTTTGGATCTGACCATTGTACCCTGAGATAAAGCCGAATTTTTTAATATCATATTTCTCTTATGTAACAAGAAATTTTGTTATATCATGAACTGCCTAAGCCTCATCCATGTTAAAGTAAGATGTACCAAATTTGCTCTAATTTGAATCAATGTGAATGAAAAGCAGAGGTTTATCCCTATCTATAAAGAAATTTCTAAGCTACTAAATATATCCGTTTTAAATCTTGTTCTAGTAGAACATTTAGTTTGGTAATGTTAATAGGAATGGATGCATTCTGTATTGAGTCGTCAACATGTAATATGGATAATCTGCTTTCAGCATTCTTTCAAACATTGATTTGGGTCCATCAATTATAGTAGTAAGTCTTGGGCCTAACTGCTTTTGATCTCCTATCAATACTGCTTGATTTGCATTTCTTAGAGCAATTAAAGTTTCAATTTCTTGGCATTAAGCTGCTTCATCAATAATCACTTGTTTAAATCTAATTCCTTTTAGTCTTTTGTCAGAGCTATTTAAGCAAGTTGTTATTATAGCAGCAGCTCTAGATAGAATCTTTGATTCAATTTTAAGTTTAAGTTTATTTAAGTCATCAAGCTCATAAGCGGTAAATGTTCTAACTGAACCTGATTTGAATCCAAATCTTTCAAGAATAACATCTTCTGTATTTATATTTTTCTTTTTAATAAGTTCCCCAGATCTGTCTACCTCAAAGTTAAATCCATATCTTGAAAACTTTACTATTTCATCTTTTGACACCTGCAATTATTTCATTTTGTAAAATTTGAGAATTTTGTCTATCTCTATGTAGCCATTTTTATCTTCTAGATCTGTAAGAAATTTATCACCAACTCCATCTTTGAAATAATAATTTTCATCAGAAAAATAATATTCCACTGTTTACTTTGCTTATTGACGATCAGCAGAAATAAATTGTTTGTTAAAATCATCCTATGCCTCAAGTTCATCCATATACTTTATTTTTTGTAGTAAATCATACTCTCTTAGGTTATTTAAATTAGTGTTGAAAATATCTTCTCTATGCACAGACTGTAATCGAATATAATTTCCATTCAAAATGGGAACAAATCTTAGTCGCTCAGCAATAAGGTCAGCGGCTGCATTTGAAGGAGCGCAGATAAGAATAGGAGTTTGAATATTATTTATATAATTATCATTGACCATGTGTGCTGCTATAGCCTAAAGCACAGTTGTCTTACCCGTGCCGGGTGGCCCTTAAATTAATGTTAATCTACCTGTTAGTGCTTATTTTACAGCTTCTCTCTAAGATTTTGAAAAGGTATCTGGGATTCCTGGGATAATTATCTCTTATGGAAGCATTTTATTTTTATCCTTTACTTATTTGCAACTAATAATTACTTATTTTAGTAATTAATCAGATGTTTTGTATGATTTATTATTTTTCAAAAATGTATCCAAAGCATTCTTAACAATGAAATATTTACCTAATCTATCCATTTTAGTGTACTTAAGAGTATCTAAATAGTAACCCTATTCTGATTTAGGTAATGTCTATTTTTCCTAACTATAAGGAGTAAGGATATTCAAATCAACAGTAACTACGGTTTTCTTTTCATCTGTAAAAGACACTGAGAAAACACTAGCAATTCCAATATATTCTTCCTTTTGGTCATCTTTATCATCTTGCTAAGAAGCAGGAGTCATTTTTACTTCTAAGAATGTCCTTGGCTTGATATTATCAGATTAGTCTAGAAAGAGTTTTAGTCTTTTAGTGATTAATCTTTATTCTTCCTAATCAAAAATGAATTAAGCTTATCTTATTTCTTTATCTTTATACATCTCAATATATTCTTCATTTATTTGGATATATCCAACTGCATTTGCATACTCATCAAGTGTTTCAAAAGTTATAGGCATTTCAATCGGTCTCTGCATTAATTTTATCTTGTTATCAATGGTTATTACTGTTGGATTAATATTACCTTCATGATCTTATAAAATTTCCTAACCATCTAAGTCAGCAAAATAGTATTCGAACTTGAAGTTAAGTCCTCTTCTAAGTCTCGATAGAGTAGAAAATCTTTCAATATCATCAATCGAAGAATATTTTTCACCATTCAAATAAATCAAAGTTTCAATTGAATTTTCTTCTTCGGAATTAATCTCATCTTAAGTCAATGTTCAGGCACTTGAAGTTGATGAAGTTTCTTAATCCACATTTTGCTGTGTTATATCAATTTAGTTTAAGATTTCCATTATTAAAATAATTATACAGAAAGCAACAATTATTTATAATCAAATTTTGTTGCACACATTATTTCTTTCAAATCATCCAATTAAATCAATGTGGGGTTTTGGGGTTTTGGGGTTTTTGGGG